CGTTTCACATTCACCACTCCCCTTCCCTATCCTTCCCTTTCCTTCCCCTCCCATTCCACCCCATCTCTTCCTTCCTCTCCCCTCCCCCCGCCCCTTTTCCTTCCCTTTCCCCTCCCTTTCTCTTTCCTTTCCCTCCCCTCCACTCCTTCGCATCCCTTCCCCTTCCCTTCCCCCTCCCCTCCTCTCCCAGCCCACCCCTCTCCCTCCCTTTTTTCCACCCCACTCTCTCCCTGTCCCACACCCTCTCCCACCCCACCCCTCTCCCTCCCCATGCTCTGACGTCACAGCACAAGAGACATGCCGCATCCGGCAGCCTGGAGAGGAAGTCGAATCCCAAATCAATCCCACAGGAGAACAGTTTTCCCCTCAGAGCGCAGCCTAATGGGGAACCTCGGGAGCGCAGTCGAGGCGGTGAAAGCGGGTTCTGTGCGGAATTCCGTGCGGATGGGCGGGCGGCGGAGGTTCTGAATGGATAGGATTGAGAGCAACGACAGATACAAAAAAAAAAGAAAAACAAGATGAAAATAGAAAAGAAAGAAGTTAAACGCAAAGAAAAAAAAAGGAACACGGAAAAAATATATATAAAATAACAAAATAGAAACCCAGAAGAGTAGCAAAAAGAAGAAGAAAAAAAAGAAAATCAAACGAAGAAGAAGGAAGAAAACACAAACCCGCGCTGGCACGACTAGCAATCCCCACGAACAAGGTATTAATAGCCGCGAACCTCAGATGTTTGAAGGAAATGTCCCAAACACTGAACTGCGGCGAAATTTTGGCAGCCCCGGGGAACAGATGTTATAAACGTTTACATAATCGCTGCCGAAGTTTCAATGGCCGAAGAAACGCGTCCTCGACTCGCTTTCCGGACCAGAAGGGCAAGACGCCGCCGCCTCCGCTGCCTCTCGGATCTGGCGACGTCTTACGGGAAGGAAAGGGAGAGAGAGATGGATATGGCATTTCTTTTTTTTTCTTTATTACAGAAAAAATGGATCAAAGGACACTGGCTGTGAGAGCTGTTTTACTGTAAAAAAAAAAGGAGACAGAGAATGTTGAGGATGATTTCAGTCAATTAATGTTTTCTACGCGACACCAAGCCGTCTTAACACACACTCCCACACATTGCCCTCCCCGGACGCAGCTACACATACCCCCAACCTCACTCTTTTCCCACCCTCCACCCACCTCCTGTACCCCCTTTTACACCCAATGCATCAACCCCATACCCACGCCCCCCCCTCTTGTATCACCAACTTACCCCTCCCCTTCCCCCTCCCCTGACCTCTAACCCCGCCTCCCCGCAATGAGTTATCGTGGAAGACGCAGAGAGGGAGGTGGAGGTGGGGAGGAGGGGGGACCTACTGCCCTACTACCCACGCCCCTCGGAGTGGCGAAAAAGCAGAAGGGATGAGGGGGTGGAGGAGAGTCAGGGAGAGCGGGAGGAGAAGGGGGATTTTTCTTTTTTTAGGGGGATGGATGAGAAAGGACAGTCCCCCTATCCCTTTTCCTTCCCTTTGCATTACTCCTCCCCCTCCTTCCCTTCCCCTTCTCCACTTTTCTCTCCTTTGCCCATCCCTCTTCCCTTTCCCCTTCTCTTCCTCTTCCACCCCCATCTCTTCCCCTTTCCCCTTCCCCCTTCCCCTTTCTCTTCCCTTCCACCCCCTTCTCTTCCCCTTTCATCCCCCTTCCCCCCCTTCTCTTCCCCTTCCATCCCCCTTCTCTTCCCCTTTCTTCCTCCCCCTCCCCTTCCCCTCCCCCTCCCCCCCCCAGGACGCAACAGCTTATGCAGACACGCACGGACGCCGCGCCGAGGACCGGGCGTTTACACGGGATCAGAAACGACTTCACACTCTGCGACACGCGAGGAAGGGGTCGCTTAAGCAGACGAGCCGAGCGAGGCGAACGCGCGGACGAAGATCCACGACTCGGAGAGGGACGACTTCAGGGAATGTCTCCGACCGACTCTTCAGGGAATCTCCGTCGACTCGTCGTCGACTCCGACTTCAGGGAATGTCTCCGAGAGGGCGACTCGGAGAGGGACAGGAGAGTTCGAATAGCGACTTAAGACGACAAGCGACTCAGGATGAAACGACTCTCAGAGAGAACGACTAGAGACCGGATAACGAAGGACGACTCAATGAGAACCGACTCAGAGAGAACCGACTACGAGAATAGCGATTCGGAGAGGGAAAACTCATGAGGGACGACTCCATGGGAACCGACTCAGAGAGAACCGACTACGAGAATAGCGATTCGGAGAGGGAAAACTCATGAGGGACGACTCATTGAGAACCGACTCAGAGAGGACCAACGCCCAGAGAACCGACTTCAAGAGAACCGACACGGAGAAAGGATGTCTCAAGGAGTCATGGAGAGGGGCTTGACAAGATCTTGGGAGAGTTCGAGGGATCGTGAAAGGGAACCAGAGAGGAGAGAGGTTTAACTCGATGGAGTTAAACTGAAAAGGACGGCGGATGACTGGGGGGGGGGGGGCTTAGAGGAGCTCAATATGGATTGGGAGTGACTGGACGGGAGTGAGAGTGACTGGATGGGAGTGACTGATTGGACGATAATGAGTGTGACTGTGAGAGTGACTGACGGGAGTGAGAGTGACTGACGACTGAGTGAGAGTGACTGGACGGGAGTGAGAGTGACTGGACGATAATGAGTGTGACTGGACGGTGACTGATGAGAGTGACTGGACGGGAGTGAGAGTGACTGGACTGAGGTGACTGGACGGGAGTGAGAGTGACTGGACGGAGTGAGTGACGATAATGAGTGTGACTGGACGGGAGTGAGAGTGACTGGACGGGAGTGAACGATAATGAGTGTGACTGACTGAGAGTGACTGGACGGGAGTGAGAGTGACTGGACGTGAGAGTGACTGGACGGCTGAGTTGGACGATAATGGAGTGTGACTGGACGGAGTGAGAGTGACTGGACGGGACTGAGACGGGAGTGAGAGTGACTGGATGACTGACGAGTGACGATACTGGACGTGAGACTGGACGGGAGTGAGAGTGACTGGACGAGTGAGGAGTGTGACTGGACGGGAGTCTCTTGAGAGTGACGGTCCTGTGAGAGTGACTGGCGGGAGTGAGAGTGACTGGACGGAGTGAGAGTGACTGGACGGAGTGAGTGACTGGACGGGAGTGACTGATTGGACGATAATGAGTGTGACTCTACGGGAGTGAGAGTGACTGGACGGGAGTGAGAGTGACTCTACGGGAGTGAAAGTGACTCTACGGGAGTGAGAGTGACTCTACGGGAGTGAGAGTGACTGAACGGGAGTGACTGGACGGGAGTGAGAGTGACTGGACGGGAGTGAGAGTGACTGGACGGGAGTGACTGATTGGACGATAATGAGTGTGACTCTACGGGAGTGAGAGTGACTGGACGGGAGTGAGAGTGACTGGACGGGAGTGACTGATTGGACGATTGATTGTGACTCTATGAGAGTGACGGAGTGAGAGTGACTGGGAGCTGGACTGACGGGAGTGAGAGTGACTGGACGGGAGTGAGTGGTTGGACGATAATGAGTGACTGGACGGGAGTGAGAGTGACTGGACGGGAGTGAGAGTGACTGGACGCGAGTGAGAGTGACTGAACGGGAGCGAGACTGACTGGGCTTCGAGCAACTGAAAATGGACCTGGATGACTGGACGATACCGAGTGTGACTGGATAGGAGCGGGACCGAAAATCCCTCGAAGCTGCTTGGAAAAGTCTGGAGGCGGAGTGAAAAGGAATGGAAATACGAGAAAGAGAGAACAGCGATTGGGAAAGATTGGGAAGAGGGGATGAATCGACTGAGGAGATTACGAAAGACCCACAAAGACTAAAAGACGGGAAAATATCGGGTCTCTCACAAGCAGGGAAAGAAATGGATGTCGATGGATAAGCTGTGATTACTTAGCAATCCATAAATCAAATAAGAAATCAATCGTTAATTGTTTATTAATTTCAAACGATTCGCCACACATGCTAATTTAGTCAGCGAGAATACAGCGACAAACACACATGCAAAACATAAAATAACAAATGCTCTGTAATTAGATTATATGAAAAACGCACAAGACGAAGACGAAGAAAAAAACGTACACAACATACGGCAAATCTCACATACCACATGGATACATTCCGCACAGTCCGAACACATAGACAGCATGTTGCGAACACACATGGCATATGGATCACACAATCACACGGGAAACATACAAAGAAAATACACAAAAAAAGGGATTTTCACACTATACAAGAACAAAATTGTAACACATGTTGATGCGGTACTTTTTTTTTTTTTTTTTTTTTTGGGGGGGGGGAGGTAACTATGAATATTTCTGCTGCTATAGAGTACTCTTTGTGTCCATTGCTTACTCGTATTGCATTTTCGCTATTCCTTAATCATCTTGTACCTTCCCTATCAATCATCTCAAAATTCAATATTTATGAATCGTTTTGACCAATATTTTCACATCCAATCACCTTTTATCCTAATTCATAATCTGTTGTCACTAAAAGTTATTTCACACTTTCACTGTTTACTTAAAGAAGTTTGGGGAGAATGAGCAGATTTTTATTTGATCGTCTTATCTTTTATCAACGAAAGATTCAGTCCTGAAATCTATTGATTCTGCATTTTTGGCTCGAAATTGTATATACACACACGCTCATACATACACAAACACACACGCTCATGCACACACACACACACACACACACACACACACACACACACACACACACACACACACACACACACACACACACACACACACACACACACACACCACACAAACAACACCACACACAAACCACACACACACACACACACACACACACACACACACACACACACACACACACACACACACACACACACACACACACACACACACACACACACACACACAATCGGAAACCAGAAGCAAGCGAAAAATGCATTTCTTTACTCTTACCTTTTACGCTCGACTACTCATTACTGCCACGATCGTCCGCCTGTAAC